GAAATATGTAAGGAGAAGGGTTTAAAGAAGTAAAATGGATTATAGAGTCCCTTTCCTCAAAGTTTAATCAGGAGCAGCTTAATTTATTTTGACTTAGTTTAAGGTCTATGTGAAGGCATTGAGGTATAGACAGGATCATTTGCTGGAACAAACTCGGTGGGGAGGAGGGCTACATGAGAGTGGCGAGAAAGCTGGCAGCCAGATGTGCTTGGGAGTGGCTCGTAACCCGGTTAACGGAGGCCTCTCATCCATCTGTTTGAGAGTATGTGGCTGCATGTGTATCTATAAGCTCATTTCAGCTGGGAAGAGTTTTCTATTTTTCTGTAATACTTCTTGGGGATAAAGGCAAGCATTGTGCTTACATTATTCATAATATATTGCTCTGAAAGAAATTTATATCTTTAAAACCAGCCTTAGAGCAGAACTAACTGCGACAGATTAAATAATAAGCTGGCAATTCCGAAGTTAAGAAGATGGTGGTCTGTTCCCAGGGTGGCCTTTTTCTGACAGACAGCTTGCAATTCTTCTTTACTTTAGTCCATTCTGTCTTCAAATCAAGTTGGTATTGTCATCTTTTCTAATTTTTCTGAGGATTAAATGCAGTCATAGAAGGGGAAACCTCTTGCAAAATTCAAAGTGTTGCCAAATTTGAGATTTTTATTATCTTATTTAATTCAGAGTTAGCAGTTAAAGAGCACAGAATTAAAAATTCATCTGTACAGGCCTAGCTTTTGTTCAGGAGCACACACACAAACCTGCTTTTCTGTAAGGAAAGAATAAATGTAGCAGCTATAATTTTTCTGGGAGCACAGCTTGATGTCACTGCTTAGGCTCAGCAAGTAATTCTCAGGTACTGACTGAAGGAGAGTGAGAATTGGAGGAGGTAGAAGAGTAAGAAAACAGAAACTTGTTAAATGAAATTGGGAGAAGTGCAACCAGGATACTTCTTAGAAGCAAGGATGGTGAAACTATCGCGCATACTTCGGGCATGTTGTCAGGAATCCTTAGAAAAAGACATCATTTGTGAAAAGGTCCGTGAAAGAGAGATCATCAAGGAGGTGGATTGATGCATGACTGTAAGAGTGGTTTGAGTGTGATGGGATTGTCACGATGGAGCAGGATAGGGCAGGGGTCCAATTCATTGTTCAAAGGATGGCTTGAGTCACAGTTGGCTTGACAACACCTAATAACAACAAGAATAGGCTTGAGAAACATTAGCAAATCTCTACCTGATTGACTTCTTAAAGTCATCCGAGCCTAGTAGTTCAGTGGACAGAGATGCTGCCTCACCTCAGCCATTTGGCTTTTTCTGATTCGTAACCCAGCTTTCACTATCATCAGTTTCATTGTTCCCCATGAGTAAGTTTCACACAAGCTGAGCAGTAAGTAAGGAATACTGAAGAATCGATGCCTTTGAATTGTTGTGTATGTGCCAATGACTGCCAGAAGGACAAAGGAATCTTTCTAGGGAAAAGTACGACCACCATGGGGAGATCTCATCTCAAATACTTTTCTTAGGAGAAACCAGTTCTGTTGAAAGGCGTCATACTGGAAAAGTAGGGAGGTCAGCACAAAGAGGCCGTTCCTCGACCAGGTAGATTGACGACAGTGGACTTGAGCACAGCAGAGATTGTGAGGATGGCACTGGATCAGACAGTGTGTTCTCTTATATGTAGGGTTGCTGTGAGTTAGAGCTGCCTTACAGTCAACAATACATAACAAGCTGGAGGAACTAGTGTCATCAGGTAAATCACAATGAGGTCTCTATGACCTATTTCCCTCCCTGTGTAAGATCCAAGATCAATCTATTGGAGAGAGTGATATTTACATTGGAAGCAGATTAGTTTCTACCGATGATATGAAAATCAATTAGTCAAACAAACACAAACTTGTTGCCATCCAGTCATTCCTGACCCCTGGTAACACCATGCATCATAGAACTACTCTAGAGGGTTTTCTTGACAAAAGTATTTCAGAAGCACATCTCCAAGTCATTCTTCCAAAAATGGTTAGGACCACTAAACTTTTGAATTAATCTCATTTCCGGGTATCATTGAGTCAATTCTGACTCATAGCAACCCCACAAGTTGACAGATTAGAACTTCTCCATTCAATTTCCTTGGCTTTAACTTAATAGCCATGGATTGCATTGTTTCCCTCTCAAAATATATTCATGTAATATCAGGTGGTTAACTGTGCCACTTCCAGTCTCTAAGTAAGGTGTTCCTGGGTGCTGAAGAGAGCATATGTTGTTGGAACTCAGGGAAGGCAGAGAGCAATGACGTCCTGAGGGAAAATTTCCAGAAGAAATGAGTTAAAGCTGAGTGGAGAAGAAACCATAGGTCTTGGAGAGAGACTTCAGAAGACTTTTAAAGGGGGGGAACACTAGAATTTAAGGTGCAGAGGCAGAGATGTACAAGTGTGCTTTAGAAGATCATAACCTACTTCCAGATCATGGCCTAAATGTTCTTCAAGGTCTTTCTCTTCCACCATCTCCCCCCATCCCCAGCACTCTGTGTTGGAGGAGAAAGTGTAACGTTTCTATCACTTCATGTGAATTTGCTCATGCAAGTAGATCAAATTCAGCCAGGGCAATCCACGGTAGTTCCTGAAATAGTTCAGTGTTGCCTAATTCTCTTCGGTACAGTGACTCTGTCTTCCTTCTATCTTATTTTGATTCTTTCTGCCACACTGAGTATTTTACTTCTAGAATCTTTCAATATTGTAACTTGGAGCTTGAAAGTTCATAATATTCTTCCACCAGTGTTACTTTTTTAAATATTTATTTTATTTTAATGGAAGTTTATAATGAGCATGGATTTCCATTCATTCATTGTTGCATGTTTTCCTCCCTCTTTCCCCTCCCTCCCAGTTTGCTTTTTTCCTTTGGGAAAAACAGTTAATTCATTGTTATATAGTTTCCCACCACCACCACCACTTTACATGGCATTGAAACAAAAAAGGGAGAGAACTGTATAAAAGGAACATATGATTAGGTATTATTGGCATGACAAGAGTCCAGAATAAGAGTTGAAATACCAAAATATTCTTTTATTTTTTTCTTTAACTTCAAGACTCTTCATAGTTCTGCTACCAGGGAACTCTTTAAAACACTTAAGAGCAAATATTTTAAAGACTAATGTGTATCTGACTTAAGCCTTAGTATTTTCAGTGGCTTCATATGCATGTGACAATTAGACCATGAATAAAGAAAAATTAAGAATTCCTACCTCTGAATTGTGTTGTTTGCAAAGATTATTGAGCGTACCATGGACTGTCCAAAGAACCAGTCTTCTGTGGTTTGTCTGCCAGGGCGCTCCTTGGAAGCAAGGACACGGATACTTCATCTCATATACTTTGAGCATGTTATCAAGAGGGTCCAGCCCCAGGGAGGAGACAGCATGCTGGAGAAAGTAGAGGAGGAGAGAAGGAGAGGAAGACTTTCAGAAAAGGCTAGTATGCACAGTGACTGCAACGCGGGGCTTGAGCTTGGCAGAGACTGCGAGTGTGGGACAGGACCAGGCCAGGGTTCTGTCTATTGTTTATGGGCTGTAGTGAGTCGGTGTTAACTTGGTGGTATCTCACAACACTAATAATCCATGATACACATTCTGAGTGTCTGGAGAATTTTGGGACAGAGAACTCTATTTCCCTTCTTTCCCAGGACTTGCATTTTTGGCTTTATCACATATCTATCCTGTATGTTGTTGTTTTATGTGCTGTCAAGTCACTTGTGACTCATAGCGATCCTATGCACAGCATTTCTGAACTTTCCTTTGTCCTGAACCAACCCCTCAGTGCCTCTGACACACTTACCCCTATGACGCCAGTCAGTGAGTCAATCCATCTCATCCTGGGTCTTCCTCTCTTGTGCTGTCCCTCCACCCTCCCAAGCATGATGTCTTCCTCCAACGACTGGTCCCTCCTTGCAGCATGCCCAAAATACGTCAGACAAAACTTTCAAACCCTTGTCTCAAAGGAACAGTCTGATCTCACCCTCTCTAGGACAAACCTGTTTGTTCTTTCTCCTACCTGTCCATTGTATATTCAATACTCTTCTCCAGCACCACAGATCGAAGGCATCAACTCTCCTATTCATCTTAGTCACTTTCCAGCTCTCTGATGCAAAGCAAGTAATTGTAAAGACCATAGCCTGGATCAGGCACATTTTAATATCTGGACTGATATCTTTGCTACAAATTAACTAAATTTAGTAACAGCAATAACTATAGCAACACAGCATGCTTTAAAAGGGGGGGGGAAGAGCAATAATAACCAAAACCACACTATCATAACTTAGCCCTGTCGGGATGATTGGAGGGTGTGTGTGTGTGTGTGTGTGTGTGTGTGTGTGTGTGTGTGTTTTACCAGGCACAGAAAATAATTTGTGCTCATCCAGTGAAGGAGAGGAAGAGAGAAAGACCCTCAATGAGATGGACTGACACAATGACTTCCTCAATGGGCTCTAGTGTGTCAGGAAGTGCAAGGATGGCACAGGAGAACAGGGTTCAGTTCTGTTGTTCATAGGATCACTATGAGTCATATTTGGCTTGATAGCATCAAACAACAATGATGATGACAACAACAACAAAAACAATAGTCCCATGTTTAGTCATTGATGTCCATATATGTGATGAGCTAGTTTCTTGGATTATAAATACAAGAGGTGGGCTACCCTATTTTTATCTGTTAAAACCTGACTCAATAAATAAAAATTTGTTCTTTTACTTTGTACTCATCAGCTCCATGGTGTGAATGGACATGCAATCCTTGTATGTGCTAACCCAAAGGGACACTTCTCTGGCACTTTGAATCCACCAGGGGCTGTGTAAGAGAAAAATGAGCACTCTCCTCCTGTGTGATTTACAGCCTCCAAAAAAGTGCAGATGGGCTATGAGTCAGCTCTGACTCAGCTGCAATATATTTTGAGAGTTAATGATTACTTATATTGGGTCTCGTAGCTAAGAAACCTCTAACTCCGCCCCTCTGTGCCTCTCTAGCATGAGAAGCTGATACATGAGTTGGAAGAAGAAAGACACTTGCGTCTTCAAAGTGAGCAGCGATTACAAGAGGTGACCCTGGAGTCTGAGCGCAACAGGATTCAGATGCGGGGCCTGCAGCAACAGTTTTCCAGGTACTGTTGATGAAATGAGCCCTTGCTTTAAGCGGTGCACCCTGTCTTGTCCCCTGGATGCCTCTCATCCAATTTCCATTTTACATGATCATTAATATCATATTTATGGAGTTGATTTCCCAACAGTTTAGACCTCTTCTTTTGTGTTCAAGGCATCTTACTGTATTTGGACCAATTGTACAGTATTTCTCATTGGCCCTTGACCTAGCTTGCATTTATTTAATCTGGTTGTCTTTAATTTCCTTTAACAGTTTCCAAAGAGTTGTTGCATTGAGTTTCCGTGGCTTTGTGGCCTCTAGGATTGTCCATTGAGAGGCCACATAGGAGGATGTGATTTCACAGGTCATTATAATCCTATTTTAAGGTGAAGACTGTGAAGTCACTTGTAGACTAAGCTATTACTTGTTGCTTAGGGGAAACTTTTAGAAGTAGTAAAAAATATTAAATTCAATGAGTTCCAATTCTTTAAAAGAAATAGCTAGAATTTGAAGGAGGATTCTGAACAGGCAGCTCTTTTTCATTTTAATTCAAGCACAGCCTAAATCTTTCAGCTGCCAATGATAGTTAACATGGGGTTAGGGAGAGGTCCATCCTATTATGATATGATCAATTCAAATCAGCAGGGGTAAAAAACAAACAAACAACAAAACCAACACAAAATTGTCCAGTTATACATCTGGAACTGGATACACGCATCCTGTGAAGGACATCCTGCATTGACACCTACATTTTACTGAAACCATTTGCTAAATCAGGAAATTTGCTTCACTTCTTCCTCGTGAGGTTGTCTCTGAGAGCGTTGAGTTTGGAAAGTATCTTTAAAATCTTTATTCAAGGTGTGGGAATTGCCTTTAATTTACCATTCATACTTGTATATCTGTGTGATTGCTGGTGTGATGTAGTTGGCTTGACTCCGCCTCACATAGGGAGCTATAGTGTCATAGTGGTAAGGAACTGCACTGCCAATCCAAAGGTATTCAGTTTGAATCCACCAGCTGCTCTGCAGGAGAAAGATGGGCAGTCTGCACCTGTGTGATTTATTGCCTCTGAAAACCCACTGGAAGGTCAGCTATGGATCAGTCTGACTTGATGGCTCACAAAGACAAGAGAATCTCTACATCTATGCAAGAGACCTTAGTTTGATTCTGGCTAATGCAACTGTGTACAGCTACCACCTATCTGTCACTGGAGGCTTGCATGTTGCTTGGATGCCAAATCGATTTCAGACAAAGATGGAAGAGGAAGAAAGACTTGTTGTTTATAAAACTATCATAAATTAGGGCTTATTTCATCCAGCTAGCACAAACATTATGTTTGATAATAGTTAAAACTTCCTCATTAAGAATCTTTTATAATGAAAGCTTCCTTTTAGTGTGTTGGAGGGAGAGGCCAAAGCTTTGCTTCTAGGTTATTTATTTCTCTTTGGCTCATTCCATGCATGCTTGTGACTTTGGATCAGGGGTTTCCAGGGGTACGAGGGCATAGATTACCATTGTGTGTTCAGTTTCATAGTTTAACACCCTGTTGATGGTATACAATAACAAAAACTCCAATCAGTACACTCACACACACATGTCTCACTCCTGTCAGACTGGTAGAGTGTTAGACACTTTTAAATTCAGTTAGATTACCACTTTTTTTTTGTATAATTTGAAGTAGCAGATCTCCTGACTCAAATCAACTTTAAGGCATTGTTACACAGTGCTGTCCATTTAATAAAATGGCAAGAAAAAGTCAGATCTTACCATTCTTGTCCTGCATAATTGATATTTTGCATGTTGTGAGTCACAGGGCACAGTGAATTATATTTATGTGAGGTTGGATCATCTGTTATAAATGAGATCACATCCTGTACAGATTTGAGTTATTTAAAAACCAATACTACATCATGGGCTTAAAGAGCAGATAATTTTATGGGAAGTTAATAGTTGTGACCTTCAAATACTAATGTTTTAAAGATTCTCTCCCCTCCAAAATATTAAATTTGCTCATGTAAGGCTTCATTGAAATAAAATATTTCTAGTCCATTTATAGTTATTCAATTAATATAAATCAGCAAAATATAGATGAGAAAAGCTGTACATATCAGGTGAGATACTGATACAATAATTGTGTAGACTCATAGACCATTTCTGCTTGCCTCTCACGTCTTAAGTTTTTGTTTTAAAGATATTTTTACTTATACTTATTTAAATTATTCTGGTGCTATAATTTAGGTCTTTGTAAGATCACCAACATCACAGAATGTTGTTGTTGTTGTTATGTGCCGTCGAGTCGTTTCTGACTCATAGCAACCCTATGCACAACAGCCCTAAACCCTGCTCTATCCTGCGCCAACCACACCGCCTCTGACACACCCATCCCAATTACCCCAGTCACCGAATCAATCCATCTCATAGAGGGTCTTCCCCTCCTGCGCTGTTCCTCCACCCTCCCAAGCATGATGTCCCTCTCCAAGGACCCGTCCCTCCTGGCAACATGTCCAAAGTATGTCAGATGAAGCCCCAGAATCCTTTCCTCCAAGGAGTAGCTTGGTTTAATCCTCTCCAAAATGAATCTGTTTGTTTTCCTGGCAGTCCATGGTACATTCAGTACCCTTCTCCAGCACCACAGCTCAAAAGCATCCACTCTCCTTCTGTCCTCCCTAGTCATTGTCCAACTCTCTGATGCATAACAAGCGATTGCAAATACCATGGCCTATATCAGGTGCACCTTAGTCTCCAGAGAGACACTGTTGCTCCTGAGTACCTTAGAGAGGTCCCTAACAGCAGACTTTCCCATCGCGATATGCTTTTTGATTTCCTGACTGCTGGTGCCAAGAGTGTTGACTGTGGATCCGAGCAAACTGAAGCTGTGAACAATCTCAATCTCTTCGTCATCCATCCTGATGCTGCCAATTGGTCCAGTGGCGAGAATCTTTGTCTTCTTGACATTGAGCCTCAGTCCATACTGAAGGCTGCAGTCCTTGACCCTTCGTAGCAAGTGCATGAGGTCCTCCTCAGTTTCAGCAAGCAGGGTTGTGTCATCTGCATAACGCAGATTGTTAATAGATCTTCCACCAATCCTGATGCCACAATTCTCCTCATAGAGCCCAGCCTCTCAGATAATCTGCTCTGCATACATGTTGAAAAGGTGTGGAGACAAGATGCATCCCTGGCGTACACCCTTCCCAATTTTGAACCATGCGGTGTTACCCTGCTCTGTTCTGACTACTGCCTCTTGGTCCAAGTGTAGGTTTCGTATTAGCACAATTAAATGTTCTGGGATTCCCATTCTTCTCAGAGTCAGCCACAGTTTGTTATGATCCACACAGTCAAATGCCTTTGCATAATCAATGAAACACAGATAGACATTCTTCTGGTATTCTCTGCTTTCAGCCAAGATCCATCTAACATCAGCAACAATATCCCTAGTACCATGACCCCTTCTAAACCCAGCCTGGACTTCCGGCAGTTCTCTGCTGATGTGCTGTTCTAATCGTTTTTGGATGATCTTCAGTTGAATCTTGCTTGCATGTGAAATCAATGACACTGTTCTGTAGTTTCCACACTCAGTTGGGTCACCTTTCTTTTTAATGGGAACAAATATAGATCTCTTCCAGTCAGTTGGCCAAGTGGTTATTCTCCATATTTCTTGGCACAACTTGGTGAGCACATCCAGGGCAACATCTGTTATCTGAAATACTTCAATTGGTATTATTGTATATCATCTATGTACATCATCAGCATCCAAGTGGATATGCAAGTAATTTATGTAATCCAGATTACTATATTAGGTTTAAAACTTTTCAATCCATAATCTTCTCCTTTTCCCTGGGTCATGAGTTAACTACAGATTAAATATTAATAAATCCAGCATAAAGTTTCTCAAGTCAAATGTTATGTTGTTGACTCATGGGAATGTCTAACTATGTTTTTATTGTCTTCCTTTGACCTCATTTTTTGAATCAGGGCACAGATGCGAAATGTGTTGAGTCCTTGTTACATTGTGGGTGGGGAAGCATATTTTCCTGGGTGTTGGTGACATAATAGCCATGAGAGTGAACTGTATTTAAGGATATTATGAGTTTCAGAGATTTGGATGAGTGAGATGGCATGGGTAGAAAGTGACTAATGAGTGTAGAAGTAGGGACAATTAGATCTACGTGGGAAAGAGTTCATCTGTCAGGATGAATGATTCAGAAGAGCTAGTATGGGCTTGGTTTTATGCCATTTCAACTGTGCAATGTGTCTGGTAGCTCTAGTGTTCCAGGCACACTAGAAATGTGTGATTAGCAATGAGTAAATGCCATCCCTTAGAAGATAAAATCTGTGAAAATGCTTGAATAAGTAGCTTTATTAATGTCACAATGAAACCTTCATCCATAATCTTACCTTTCCCCTTGACCTGATGATGTATAGGAAGGGTACTGGTCCAAATTGTGAACAATAAGAGAAAAGATATATGACAGAGGCTATGTAACCATGTTTGAGATCATAAATCAGAAATTGCTGTCCTTGACGGAGATCAGGCAGGCATTGCCACCTTGGTTTGGACCATTTACATTCTCTCATAGAAATGCAGAGATGATGAAACAGTCTAAAATGAACTCTTACCTTCAGTTGAGGGAGCACTTCGGTAGGTGCTGCTTAGAGGAATTGAAGTTGTCAGGATTGTGTGTGTGCTCTGTCTTGTTGTTTACATATAAATCAAACATGATTTCCAGATGGGATAAACACTGTGTTTCACTGGTCATCTGTGTTTTCTCTATGGCTGCATATGCTTTCTTTGGGGTTAGCTTTTGTCCTATACTGGTCACAATCAGATCTGTCCAGGAGAAAGTGAAACCAGAGTACTCCTTAGAGGTGAAGATACTGCAACTCCATCTCACATACTTTAGACATGTTGGAGAAAGGAGGACATCATGCTTGGCGAGGTAGGGTCAGCACAAGAGAGGAAGACCCTTGATAGGATGGACTGACACAATGACTGTCGCAATGAGGTCACAATTGTTGCAGAGA